GGAGTTTAGGGCTGTTGTACATAGGGTATGAGTCGCAGGCGCACATAACAACAACAACACCATGATAGACAAAGGTCTTCTTATTCTGGCCCCACCCTGCTCCTTCTCCCACTTGCAGCCACCTCTACCCCCTGTCTGGACCCTTTTAGGATGCTGCTTGATATCATCCTCTCTGGGAAGCATACACACCCTGGCTCCTTGAATTAGTAATCACTTCCTCTTGTTTCCAGGGAGGTAATCATTACACAGCAATTGAGTGGTTGAATGAATGTGTTAACCATATTATGGGTGTGGTGACTAAATAGAACAAAATTTGTTTACTATTGAAGCTCAGTATCAAGAAAACAAAGATTCTCACCACTGGACCAGTTGGCAGCATCAGTATGGATGGGGAAGAGATTGAGATAGTTAACAGTTTTAGCTTGCTTGGCTCCACAGTCAACACTCTTGGTGACAGCAGCCAGGAAATCAAGAGACGTATTGTATTGGGAAAGTTAGCTGTCAGGAACCTCTCCAGAGTACTGAAGAGCAACGACGTCAGGCTGGAGACTAAGGTGTGCCTGATCTGGGCTATAGTCTTTGCAGTTGTGTGCTATGCATCAGAGAGCTGGAAAGTGACTAGGGAGGATAGAGAATTGATGCCTTTGAGCTGTGGTGCTGGAGAGGAGTGTTGAATACCATGGACTGCTAGGAGAACAAACTGGTTTGTCCTACAGAGGGTGAAGGCAGGCTTCTTCTTGGAGTCAAAGATTCTAAAGCTTTGTCTGACGTGCTTTGGGCATGTTGCAAGGAGGGACCAGTCCTTGGAGAGGGACATTATGCTTGGGAGAGTGGAGACAGTGCCCTCAATGAGATGGAGAGATTCAGTGATTGGGGGGTAGTGGGAGTAGGTGTGTCAGACACAATGAGTTTGGCACAGGATAGAGCAGGGTTTAGAGCTCTTGTACATAGGGTCACTATGAGTCACAAGCGACTTGACGGCACCTGACAACAACAACAACAACAATTGAGGCCTATTTATATCATCCACTTATAAAGAGAAGCAGAGCTTCCTAATCTAGTAAGGTGGAAGAAAGTGTAACATTTAGAGACCAAACACTTTGCACATCAGAGTCTCCATGGAACAGCTTGAAGTATTTGACATTCAGCTGCAGCCTGAAATACCAGCGCTGTGCAGTCAAGAGCTTGTGGCACACAATGGAGTGATATTTTTGTACAAAATTTTAAAAGAAAAACGGATTACCAATAAAAACACTGATGTGACTTTTCCGCCCTTCCCCTAGACATTCCGCCCAGCTGCCATGCTCATTGAGCGCTCGTCCGACTTCGGGAAGACCTGGGGCGTGTACCGATACTTCGCCTATGACTGTGAGAGCTCCTTTCCAGGCGTGTCAACTGGCCCCATGCAACGAGTTGATGATGTCATCTGTGACTCCCGATACTCTGACATTGAACCCTCAACGGAAGGAGAGGTTTGCTTTGTCCTGTGTTCTGCTTGCCAGTTGACCTTCTAATTTTTTGCAGAAATACTAATTACTCACTCTTGCATCTATTTTTAGGTGATATTTCGGGCGTTAGATCCTGCCTTCAGAATAGAAGATCCTTACAGTCCAAGAATACAGAGTAAGCTTGTTTTTAGATAGAGTTTTAATGGGGACTGGCCATAGATGAGCTATAACCCACAGCATTGTTACTTGGAATCTAACTAGTCAGTGTGAGATCCACCCATCTGGGGTCTTCTTTCATCTGTAGCACCCTACCAGAAGTTCTTGAAATTAGTGCTAGCCACAGCCCTCACCAGGGAGTGCTGATAGTCTGGTGGTAAGGAATTGGACTGCCAACCCAAAGACTGGAGTTTCGAATCCACAAGCTGTTTGCTCCATAGTAGAAAGAGGGGCCCTTTCATCCTGAGCAAGTTACTGCCTTTGAAAACTCCTGGATGGTCAGCTATGAGTCAGTTCTCACTTAACAACACGTAACAACAACAGCAACAGTCACAGTTTTGACAGGAGTTAAAGCTTTATGTCATAAGTACTTACCGATTCTCTGATCATACTACTTGATTTTATCGCTCAGGATGCTAGCTAGAGATTACAGTAAGCTGTTGCTCCAAAATATTCTCCCCATAACAGTGGCTCCGATAAGGTAGGAGTTTGTGTCTCTAGTACAAAATCACCCAAATGGACTTCCACAGAACTGCAGTTCTCCTGTCCAAAATAGAGATTGCCAAACCCAGTGCCAGATATTGTGTGGAATGTACTTACAAAGTGTATTCATAGTTTATCTGAAATTCACATTTAATAGGGGGTTGTGTATTTTAATTTGCTAAAGCTAGCCATCTAGGTTCATCCAAGTGGCCAGGATTTTTCCGTCTTGTAATCTTTATCCAGGTGGTTAAAGCTGGACTGCTGTAACCTATGGATGGCAGGGAAGTGAAAGTGGACAGCATGCAGATTCCATTTAAACATGAGACGTGGAAGCTGTACCTCTATGTTTCTGGCCAGAATTAGCCACATGGCTCTACTGCAGTTGTTCTGGTGCCCTCAGAGAGTTGTGCTGCCAGTCCAAAGGTGGGCAGTTCAAATCTACCAGCTGCTTCTCAGGAGAAAGATGGTCAGTGTCCTCCCAGCGATTTACAGCCCTGAAAACCCATTGGAGTTGGTTCTGACTTGACAGCAATGACTTGTTGTGAGGTAACCATGTGCTCTACTAAGTCTTCATAGTTCTTAGTGTTAAAGGAAGAAGGGAACAGGTACTTTGGGAAAATTAGAAGTCTCAGCACTCTCAGTAAGGTGATGTCTGTATTTCCTTTGACAGATGAGTAAAGTGAGGCTCTGAGAGTTAGGATAATAGTACAGATAAGGTGACATGGCGGTTAAATGGCAGAGTTAGACCTTGAATTCATGGGTCAGAGCTCTTTTCAGCATTCAACAGCTGTGCTTGTGTCATTAGAGAATTGCATTTTAGTTTATGGGGCAGAACATGCAATGCTTCAAAGAATGGGCCTTGGAGTCAAACCTGGGTTTGAACCCCAATTCTGTTGTATTGTAAAATGAGATCTTGGACAAGTCATTAAACTGTGTATTTTGAGCCTTTGTTTTTTCATCTGGGGAGCTTAGTAATATTGACCATAGCTATGAAGGGACAATGAGTCACTATGAAAGCTACTATCAACGTGCCTTCTACATAAGGGTTCAGCAGATTGAAGCTGCCACTCGCTGGCCATTCTTAGCATCGGAGCAGCACTGATCCTGTGTGTTCGAGTGCTGAGACGGACGGCCTCCTCTGATGCTAAGGAGCGGCCAGCCCATCAGCTAATCAGAAGGGCAAAGGCAGGGCTCACTCCTCCTGCTCCCTCCCGGCTGTGGCCCGATTTTTATCCAACGTCTGTGGAACAGCTTGGAGGATGGAAGAGAAGAGAGGAAGAAGTCCCAGGAATATTTCCCACAAAATGTTCTTTCCTCACTTAAATTGATTTTATGTGTAGCCCAGACTGTCACTGCCCCTTCATTCTATTGTAAAACAAATATTTAATGCCACTTACAGCCCACTTCCAAGGTGTTCTAAAAATCCAGTTTAGAGAAACGTCCACATGGATTTCATGACAATACCGCCTAAGTTCCCCAAAGACCTCACCTTTTTAGGAGAAAATTATGGGACTTGAGGAATTTGTTGCCATTACAATTCTTTCGTCTTCTGCTGTCAGTTGGCTTAGAAATCCTATTTCTATAATATTTTGTTGTATGCTGTGGAGTTGGAACTGACCCATAGCTGACCCGCCAGTGGGTTTTCAGAGGCAGTTAATCACACAGGAGGAGAGTGCCCATCCTTCTCCCATGGAACAGCTAGTGGCCTTGAACCTTGAACCTTTGGGATTGCCACACAGCTTCTTGCCACTAGGCCAAGGGAGTATTCGTTTTGGCTTATGGGGCTTTTGATTTGCTTGGTGGTCAAGGGAGTTGTTCCTTTTTAGTTGTCCTTATTGAAGCTTGTGAGACACACTTGGAAAGTGAAGTTGTCACATAGAACAGTAGTGAATGTGAGGCTGAGTTGTTATTTGAACTGTCATTAAATATGATGGGAGAGAGTTGAGGAGGATAACATATTTGCTCTTCTGAGGGCTTCCACAAAGATCAGCTCAAGGTTTCCTAAATACTTCAGCTGTTCTTCAAGTTTGGTTGTTTGGCCTCTTGTCAATAGACTCTTCTGTGCAGGAGGAAATGTTAGCATTCATAAATTCCATTCAGCTCGTCGTCCCACACTGTCTTTGTTCCGTTTTTTTTTTTTTTTTTATTTTACAAAGAGCCCAAGTTTAATGCATGGCATTTTCTCTTTCAACCCACAGCCATTTCTATAGTCTCCACTCTAAGTTATGCATATATTATAAGTTCTTAAAATTATATTCTAGTGCAACAATGAATGAATGGAAACCCAAAATCTCTGTAAATGTTTATGAAAATTAATAAAATATAATTATAGAAAAAAAATTATATTCTGACTTGGGAACTATCTGATGCCTTGGCCACTACCTCTTGTAACGGCATAAATGGAAGTAAAGTGTAGAAGCAATTTCAGGCTTGGAGCCAAATGAGAAGGCAGATGGACTAATACATCTTTTGTGAGCCTGTTAAGCAAGAACAACTTAGCAATTAATGAAAACCATAGGAGAAGGTTTAGTGGGCCTTGAGTTTGTCAAGTTACTGTAGATTGAGTGATAGCACAACTTCTACTCAAAGAAGAATGGAGAAAATGGGTCTACATATTACTCATATGTAGGGAGCTCTGGTGGCCTAGTGGTAAGAATCTGCACTGTAATACCAAAGGCACTCAGTTCGATTCCTCCAGCTACTCTGTGGGAGAAAGATGGACAATCCTCTCCAGTGCAATTACTGCTTGTGAAAACCTGCTGAAGTGTCAGCTGTAGGTCAGTTCAGCCTTGATGGTATGCAACAACAACTGTTGTTGTTGTTGTTATGTGCCGTTGAGTCGCTTGCGACTCATAGTGACCTTATGCACAACAGCCCTAAACCCTGCTCTATCCTGTGCCAACCGCACTGCCTCCGGCACACCCATCCCGATTACCCCAGTCACCGAACAACAACTACTCAGATGTAAAATTATTTGCCCCACTTTCTTAGACCAAAGCTCTTTTTTCTTTAGACCATAATTTTTATTGAACATTTTGTGAAACTACAGTGAACATGGGAAAGTCTGCTGTTACAGACCTCTCCAAAGTACTGAAGAGCAGCGGTGTCTCTTTGGAGACTAAGGTGCGTCTGATACAGGCCATGGTCTTTGCTATCACTTATGCATCAGAGAGTTGGACAGTGACTAAGGAGGATAGAAGGAGAATTAATGAGTTTGAGCTGTGGTGCTGGAGAAGAGTATTGAGGGTACCATGGACTGCTAGGAAAACAAACAGATTCATCCTGGAAAGGGTCAAACCGGGCGGCTCCTTGGAGGCAAGGATTCTGAGGCTCCGTCTAACATTCTTTGGACATTTTGCTAGGAGGGACAGGTCTTGGAGAGGGACATCATGCTTGGTAGGGTGGAGGGACAGCACAGAAGGGGAAGGCCCTCTATGAGGTTGATTGATTCAGTGATTAGGGTAATCGGGATGGGTGTATTGGAGACGGTGCAATTGGCACAGGACAGAGCAGAGTTTAGGGATGTTGTACGTAGGGTCGCTATGAGTTGCAAGGGATTCGACGGCACATAACAATAACAATAACAACAACAACAACATCAGTGAACACTATAGGTTGAAATGTTGCTTAAAAGGGGTTTCCCCCACCCCCAGATGTGGTTCTTCTGTAGTGTTAAGGCTGTTTTTAGTAACTTTAATTCTGTTTAGTGGTGAGAATTTCAGATGGTATTTTTCTTACCAGATATTGACACAAAAGGTTATTTCAGTCTATCTTAAAATAATGAGAGCTGACATGTGTTGATGAACTGTTTCCCACATAAATTAAGTTTTCTGATTCAGAGGTTGACAGTGATTGCTCTGGGAAGCTAATGCCATTATAGTAGTTGAGATCATTGTTTACAGATTAATTCCAGCAACCATGTACTTCCATTCTTGTAATTTCTCCATTCCCTGCCTTCCCTCGAAAAACTCTCGTCTACACAAATTCACCACAAAACAGACTGACAAGAAGATGACTTCTCCTGTAGGAGAGATGGTCATGTTGCTAGGATGGTCATTGTTGTTATGGACCACCCTGTCAGAACGAACTCAGCTGACCCTCCAGCAGGTTTTCAGAGGCTGTAAATTGTACAGGAGGAGAGTGCCTGTCTTTCTCCCACCGGTCAGTTGTGGATTCAAAACTGCATGACTTCAGGTTGGCAGTGCAACTCTGTAACCATTAAGCCTTCGAAGCTCACTCATAGTCTATTAAACTTTATTATTAAAAAAATAAATAAATAAAAATTTTAAAAAACCCAACTTTATTATTATGTCTGTCTAAGCCACACAGAGGGTGGTGAACTTGACCTAACCCATTTTCTTTTGCCCTACCTTTGCATAAAGAGGAATGATAACATATGATGGCAAAAAAGAATTGTTGCTTTGTTTGACCAGGCTTTTTTTTTATCTTCTTGATGCACTTCACAGATCTGTTAAAAATCACCAACTTGAGGATCAAGTTTGTCAAACTGCATACTTTGGGAGACAACCTGTTGGACTCCCGAATGGAGATCAGGGAGAAGTACTACTACGCTGTGTATGACATGGTGGTGCGAGGAAATTGCTTCTGCTATGGCCACGCCAGCGAATGCGCCCCTGTGGATGGATTAAGTGAAGAGGTGGAAGGGATGGTAAGCAGGAGCTCTGTGGGGCTTTCTCCTGCCTATAAAGAATTCTAAAAGCAAATGAAGCTAGCCTTGTCTTAAACGTCATACATTTTCTGGGGATTTGTTGCCAGTTTGATAATTTAGCACTTTGCACCGTGCTGGTGTTCAGCAGTTGATTTTTCTCTCTGAAGTGTTTCTTGGAACATGAGAATGTTAAGACTGCTCATTTCATGTCATTGACACTGAATTGGAACATGTTGCCTTGGGCAGTTGCTAAAGTAGCTATTTTAGTCAACAAGGATTAAAAAATTGTCTCAATAACAATTTATGTTGGGGAAGATTAAAAACCACAAGCATTCCAGCCGTGGTGCTAGAAGGCATAAACTAATCCCAACACAAGAAAACTGGAAATTTAACCCAGCCATATCAGAGCTGTTTAAGGATCAAATGGACTTTGCTTCTTTCTTTCTTCTTTCCTTCAAATCCCACTTATATGAGGTATTTTCAATTTATGCACTTTTGAAAAGCCATTGCTTTGAGTGATTTACTAAATGAGTAAAGTTAGGGTATTTTACCAGTTTATACATGAAATCTTAGAGACTCAGAGAATTTGAAACCCAGACAGGGCATTTCAGGGTCATCTATCCTTGCTAGAAGACACCACTGACTGAGTAATTCGTAAATTAATTTAGTGGCAGATACCAAGACAGCTCTCAGCCTTTCAGCTCTTCTGGTTTATCTGCTACAAAATTGTGATCCTCTTTCTGTTCATTCTTCATATCAATACTATTTTTCATATCAAAATTTTCCATTTGAAGCATACAGTTCTATGGCATTAACTATATTTACTTTATTGTATAAGTATCAACACCATCTATTTATGAAAATTTTTTCCCTTACTATCACTCCAAATAGAAACTGAGACCTTGTTATGTAAAAGCATCACGTTACGCCCAGGTACCTTTAATTGAAGTTTTGTCTCTGAATTTGCCTCTTAAGTGTTTGACTGCTAACTGAAAGGTCGGTGGTTCAAACCCACCCGCATGGCCATGGCAGAAAAGATCCTGATGCTCTGCTCTCATAAAGATTGCAGCCTGTAAATCCTACAGGGCTGTTCTGCTCTGTCATACAGGGTCACTGTGTGGGGGAGCTCCGGTAGTTTAGTGGTAAGGAATTGTGCTACCAACCCAGAGACAAGCAGTTCGAATCAGCCAGCTGCTCTGAGAGAGAAAGGACAGCCTTTTCCTGTGTGATGTACATACAGCCTCTGAAAACTCACTGGAGTTACAGGTCGGTTCCAACTTGACGGCACACAACTGCACAAGTTGGGATGAGCTCAGTGCTACCAAACAACACAGATATTTCACATAAGTAGAATCATGCAGTATATACCCTTTTCTGTCTGGCTTGTTTTACTTAGCATATGATTTAAATGTTCATCGGTGTGAGAGTGTGCGTAAGGGTTACATTTTGTGGCTGAGTACCATTCAGTTGAAGAGTATAGGTGGTGCAATGAAGGATTAAGTGTTTAACTGCTCACCGAGAAGTTGGGGGTTTAGATCTAAGAGTTGCCCTGTGGAGGAAAGATGTGACCATCTTCTTCTGTAAAGATGACGGCTTTGGAGACCATGTGGTGCATTTTGCTGTCTTGTAGAATCACTAAGAGCCAGACTTAACTCCACAGGCGCTGGCTGCAGTATTCTAAAGGCACTACATTTTATCTGTCTCTTGTTTCTTGGTGAAGACTGTGCAGTTCCCCACTTACTGTGTACCTTTTTTTTTTTTTTATTTTTATTTTATTATTTTGTGTGTGTGTGTGTACACCCCGTCAAATTGGATCTGACTGGTACAGGAGGAGATGGCTCCTCCTTCTCCGGCAGAGCATCTGGTACTGTGTACCTTTTCAGAGATGATTAGTCTTTGACCAAAAAAAGAGTACAAGCAAACTCTTCTGAAACTTCCGTCTTCCTTATAGTGAATCCTTAGAATTGAGCTAGAGCAGAATTTTTAACAAAGCCTGAAGGGAGAGCTGTATCTCTTATCTCGTTGCTGCGTCTTTTGGAGAATCCTGGGTGGATTATATTTACTTTGTAGTGTTACAATCTAGCGTGTCCTGTCTCTTTTCTGCTTCTCACAGCATGCTATATTATTTACTCAGCCACTGGAGAGTCTTGTGGTATGCACTTTGGAACTGTTTTACATTCTGTGTAAAACCACCTGTAATCAAAGGATTTTCGCCTTCTGCTAACTGCACTCTGAAATAGGTGGGTCCAGGCTGGACCTGTCTATCCTGTTCCTGAATTCCATTCTATGGAAAATACTGTGAAAGCATGGTGCCCACATACATGCGTATTTCATAGACTGAGAGCTCTAATAATTCTTTAGGTCTTAGGGGTCTTAAGCAAGCTTTATACTGACATGTTCAAAATGATGTATCACAGACCCTTTGCTAAAAATCAGGCTAGTTTGTATCTTCTGAGAATTTTTTTTTATTTCCTCACTTAAGAGAGAAAAAAAATTTAATGTGTTTGTGGCAAAAAGTTGATTTTTTTAAAATCTCATTTTGGTTGAAAGTTCCTGAAGTTGAAATCAAATCAAAACTAAACAAACAACCACTTTTGTGTTTTCTGACATAGCAGTAAAACTTAGGAAGTTCTCAAATGTACCTTGTTTGCCATCTGATAGATGTACATTTAGTTCCCCCTGTAACTTAATAGATTTCTGTCAGTCGGTAAGGAATCGTGCTGCTAACCTGAAAGCCGTTCTTAGGTGATTTGAACCCACCAGCTGCTCCACTGAAGAAAGACAGTCTCCTCTCATGTGATTAACAGCCTCAGAAACTCAATGAAAGGTCAGCTGTGAGTTGATTCTGACTTGGTGGCAGTGAGTTTTTCATTTGATTACTGTAAATTATTTTTTCTATTAACTATTCAAGATGCTCTGAAGGAATTGGGAAAGAACAAGGCCCTGGGAATTGATGGAATACCAATATTTCAACAAGCACATGCAGCTCTGGTCGTGCTCACCAGGCTGTGCCAAGAAATCTGGAGGACAGCTACCTGGCCAACTGAGTAAAAGAGATCTGTATTTATTCTCATTCCCAAAAAGGTGATCTGACAGAGTGTGGAAGTTATCAAATAGTATCACTAATACCACAATGCAAGCAAAATCCTGCTAAAGATCATTCAAAAATGACTGGAACAGTACATTGACAAACAACTACCCGAAATACAAGCTGGATTTAGAAGAGGTTGTAGCTCTAGGGATATCATCACAGATGTCAGATGGATGTTGGCTAAAAGCAGAGAGTATCAGAGGAATGTCTATCTGTATTTCATTGACTATGCAAAGGCATTTGACTATGTGGATGACAGTTAATTATGGCTAACCTTGAGAAGAATGGGAATCCCAGAACACCTGATTGTGCTCTTGAGAAACCTATTCTCGGAGCAGGAGGTAGCTGTCAGAGTAGAGCAAGGAAACATTACAGGGTTCAAAATCAGGAAAGGAGTGTGTCAGAGATCAGTTCTGTCTCCATACCTTTTCACTCTCTATGCGGAACAGATCACTGGGGAGGCTGGACTTTATGAGGAGGAATGTGGCATCAACAACAGCCTGCACTGTGCTTATGTCACAACCTAGCTTACTGAAACTGAGAAGGGCCTGATGCATTCACTGCAGAAGGTCAAATAATATAGTCTGCAGTATCAAGAAAATGAAGAATCTCACCTCTGGTCTAGTTGGCAGCATCATAGATGCATGATAGATGGAGAGGAGATTGAGGTTGTTAACAATTTCACCTTCCATAATCATCACTTTTGGCACCAGCAGTTAGGAAATCAAAAGACGAATTGTGTTAGAAAAATCTGCTGTCAGGGCCTTCTCCAGCGTGCTCAAGAGCAACAGTGACAGTCTACAGACCAAAATGTGCCTGATCCAGACCATGGTCTTAGCAAATACTTGTTAGGCATCAGAGAGCTGGACAATGACCAAAGATGACAGAAGAATTAATGCCTTCTAGTTGCAGTGCTAAAAAAGAGTATTGAACATGCCATGGACTGCAAAGAGAACTAATAGGTCTGTCCTATAAAGAGTGAAGCCATGCTGCTCCTTGGAGGCAAGGATTTTGAAGCTCTGTCTCATATACTTTGGGCATGTAGCAAGGAGGGACCAGTCCTCAGAGAAAGACATCATGCTTGAAAGGTTGGAGGGATAGTGCAGGAGAGAAAACTCCAGATGAGATGGATTGACACAGTAACAGGGATAATGAGGGTAGTTATGTCTGAGACAGTGAGATTGGCTCAGGATAGAGCAGGTTTCAGAGCTGTTGTGTGTAAGTTCGCTGTGAGTTGTGGTTGACTTGACACATAACAGCAGCAACAATTAGGAGCTCTGGTGGCCTCGTGGTAAGAAGCTGTGCCGCAATTTCAAAGGCAGTTCCAAATCCCAGTTCAAACCTGTCACCTGCTTTGTGGGAGAATCTCCTTCCTTGCAGTTTGCTGCCTTTGAAAACCCACTGGAGGGTCAGCTGTGAGTCATTTCTGACTTCATGTCACACGACAAGTTTCCTTTTAAAACATGCTTGAGTAACTAATTGTGGTTTTGGCTTTCGTTTCATATATATTGTTGGTGTTATCTACTGTGGAGCTGGAACGGACTTATAGCTGTCCCTCCAGTGAGTTTTCAGAGGCTGTAATTCACATCAGAGAAAACTGCCTATCTTTCTCCCTAGGAGCATCTGGTGAATTTGAACCACATGCCTTTGGGTTCCTAGCGCAACTTTTTACCACTAAGCCACCAAAGCTATTTTAAAAATAGTTATTGAGTACCTATTATGTAGTGAGAACTCTTTTAGAGTTAAGTGTTAGAGCCCAGATAGAGAAAATTCATTGGGCCAGGGAGAAAGGGCAAAATTAGAATAAAGAAACCCTCCCTGTGGTAAAGTGGAGATGACTGTACAAAGGAGTTTACATTTTTCCCATTGGCTCTTGAGAACTCTCAGCCATTGACACAGTTCTTATCTGCCTCGTCTTGCTTCTGTACCTTTCAGGTCCACGGACACTGCATGTGCAGACACAACACCAAAGGCTTGAACTGCGAGCTCTGCATGGATTTCTACCATGACTTACCATGGAGACCTGCTGAAGGTCGAAATAGCAATGCCTGTAAAAGTAAGTCCCAGTCAAACAGGCTTTTGAATCAGTGAGTTTGAGATAATATAACCGTGTGCCATTTTGCAGAAGGAAGAACAATGACTGTTCTTTCCCCAGCATCAGCCAGGCACTCCAGTTAAAATAGAAGTTGGTGCTTACTGGGCAGCATCTGTGTGTTTAGCCCTGATCTGGGGTAAATACAGAGTAAAGCCCAAGACCAATTTTCAAGGGAAGATGGTCATGAAAGAAAAATGTGACAGATCATGGCAGATCAACATGGTCTAAGGAATAGGAAGTTTCTGGCATTATTTCTAAGCCAGCCTAGGGACCAGGCTCTTTATTCATTCATCCATCCATCCATGCATCCATCCATCCATCCATTCATCCATCCATCCATCCATCCACCCATCCATCCATTTGTCTTAGCAGTATTCTCTGAGCAGAAGTCCCTTTTGATACACTACCATCCTTCTCAGTACACAGATGTAGTAATTCTCACATACTATTCTGCCCTTACGGAACATACCTGTCTCTTTTTCCCCTGGAAGACAGTTCTAGAACTTGAGACACTAGTGAAAACGAGAGTATATCACTAAGTAGGCAGGAGTGAACTGGCCTTTCATGAATAGCTGTGGTGGTTGTTCAGGCAGAGGAGCGAGGAGGGGGCTTTCAGATAACATGAGGCTTCTGTTCCCACCAGAGTGCTTATGCTGGGCAATGATGCAGAAGATTAAATTCAGCTAATCTCTTAGAGATAGAGTTCTGCTAACTCTGATGATGAGTGGTGTGTAAGTAAGGCACAGTCTTCTCAGATTTTCTCTTGCACAGGAGAGAATGGACAGGATGGGGATGTTAGCATATAGAGAGCCTCGTAAGGGCCAGGCCAAGGAAAGGTTTTTTTTTATGAGAGGAGAAGAGGAATCCGTGCGGACTGCTGAGCCCACAAGTGAGATGAGAAGAGGGGGGTGATTGCTGAATGGTTAGAGGAGGCGAGGACCGCCCTTTAGAAGTCCAGCCGGGTGGCTGTTAAACAGACATTATTTACTGAAGATCCCGACCTCGTATTGGTGGTGGTGGTGGTGGGAACAGGAAGGGAGATTCAGTTCAAAGCTTGGAGCCCAACTAAAGCCTCCCAGGAATGTGTCACAGAGAAAGTTCTTGGGAGTAATGTTCTTCAACACGGCCCCATTCTGAGAGGGACCTTAGGCGTCCTTCATAGAATGACAGCATTCCTCCTGCTGATAAACATTGGAATTTTCCATTTTTAATAGCTTCCGTTTTTAATAGAGGGAGCTTTGGTGTTCTGGTAGATAAAGAGTTGTGCTGCCAACTCAAAGGCATGAGGTTCAAATCCACCAGCTGCTTCTTTGGAGAAAGATAGGCAGTCTCCTCCAGTGCAATTTACAGCCTCTGAAAACCTGCTGGAAAGTCAGCTGTGAGTGCAGCAGGAATGAGCTGAGTTCTTATTTCTCCAGAGAGGGCAGCTAATTGTAATAAATACATTTTATTTTCTACATTTAAGGTTTTCCAGCACAGCTTAGAATTTAAACCAATGTAATCAGTAGATGCATCCTTTTTTTTTTTTTTTCTTAAGTAGACATGTCTTTTGTCACCCTGAGGGTCCTTGGCTAATTTAATTTTTGCCTAAGTCTAATGTCTGATTTAAAAATGAGATTCCTTCCTCCCACCCTGCCTCCTGTTAGTGAGTAGATTGAAAGGGTTTTCACTGGCATTGGTCTCTCCACGCAGAGTGTAACTGCAATGAACACTCCGGCTCGTGCCACTTTGACATGGCTGTGTACTTGGCAACTGGAAACGTCAGTGGAGGCGTGTGTGACGACTGTCAGCACAACACGATGGGGCGCAGCTGTGAGCAGTGCAAGCCCTTCTACTACCAGCACCCCGAGAGAGACATCCGCGACCCCAACATCTGTGAACGTACGTC